TTTTTCAGTACACTGTCATTAATATGAAGGAAGGCTACTGATTTTTGTGTGTTAACTTTGTATTCTTCCTTTTCTGAAGCTGCTTTTTAGTTCTCAGAGACTTTTGGTAGAATCCTTAGGGTCTCTTATGTATAAGATCATGTTGTCTACAAACGGAAGGACTGTGACTTCTCTTCTTATTTGTATCCCTTTTATTTCCTCCTTCTGTTTTATTGTTCCAGATAAGACTTCAAGCTCTATATTGAGTAGGAATGGAGGATATGAATCCTTGTCTTATTTCTGATCTTAGTGGGAATGCTTTGAAGTTTTCTCCACATAGCATGATGTTGGCTACAGGTTTTTGATACACAACATTTATTATGTGGAAGCTAATGTGCCATTCACTGCCAAGGTGTAAAAATGAATAAGACAGCATCCCCTATCATATGCTAATCTATGCTGAATTCCTTATGCTTTATTTTAATTATCTCACTCAGTGTTTACAATCTTTGTGGCTGTTGATCAATCGGCAACAAAATATTCCTCTAGTAGAAAATGTGTGTGTGCATGCGTGTGTATAGATATGCTTTATGTATCTATATAAAATATAGCAACTATGTATAAGAGAAAACATGTATCTGTCTTTCTGACAGTGGCTTAATTTGCTTGATATGATTATCTTCAGTTGTCTCTACTTTCCTACACATCACATAACTTTGTTCTTCTTTATGGCTAAAAAAAATTCCATTGTGCATATTTCCTACATTTTCTTTATACATGCTTCTGTTGTTAGACACCTAGGTTAGTTCTGTGTGCTAGCTATTGTGAACACTGCTGAAGTACACATTGATGTGCAGTGTCCCTGTGATATGTTGCCTTTGAGTTTTGGTTAAATACCCAGGAGTAGTACATCTGGGTCACTGGTAGATCTATATTTAATTTTATGAAACCAGCATACTGATTGCCACACTGACTAGACTAGTTTACATCCCCACCAGCATTAAGTAAGGCTTCTCGTTTCTCTATGTCCTTGACAACATTGGCTGTTATTTGGTTTCCTACTGACTGCAGTTCTGACTGGGGAGAGATAGAGAATCAAGGTTGTGTGTGTGTGTGTGTGTGTGTGTGTGTGTGTGTGTGTGTGTGTGTGTGTATGTGTTTGTGTGTGTGCGTGTGTGCATGTTCATTTACATGTGTTAATGCAGGTGCCCATGTGCGATGGTACATGTGTGGATATCAGAGGACAATCTTGGGTGTTGGTCCTTGCCTTCCACCTTGAGACAGGGTCTCTTATTTGTGCCTGTGTATAGAATAGCTAGCCTGTACGTTCCCAGGTGTCATATTCCAACTCCACCTCTTGGCATTGTCAGAACACTGAGATGGCAAATGCATACCATTATGCCCAGCTTTCCAAGGTTCTATGGATCTGAACTCAAAACCTTATGCTTTTCTGGAAAGTGCTTTCTCCACTGAGCTATCTTCGTAGCCCTTAATTTGCATTTCTCTGATGGCTTGTGAAGTTGAGCATCTTTTTATATGTATACTGACCATTTATCTTTTGAAAGCTTCCTGCTTGTTTTACTCGCATAATTACTGATTGGGTTCTTTGCTTTATTATTTAGTTTTTGCATTCATTGTATATTCTAGATATTAATCCTCCATCTGATATGCAAGCAACATAGATTTCTCCCACTCTCACATGCTGTGTCTTCACTCAAGTGTTTCCTCTGCTGTGCTGAAGGTTTTTAATGTGATAAGATCTCATTTGTCCACTTTCAGTCTTATTTCCCAAGTGACTAGATTTCTATTCAGAAAATTCTCCAGTGCCAATATCTTGAAATGTTCTCCCCATTGTTTTCTCTAACAGTTTTAGAGTTTACAGTCTTTGATCTGTTTGGATTTGATCATAAACAGAATAAGAAATAGGGATTTCGTTTCGTTCTTCGTTCTTCTAGATGTACATCTCCAGTTTCTTCTCAGAACCATTAGTTAAAGAGGCTTCTTTTCCACTGTGTATTGTTGCTATAATGTGGCTGTTGCTGCGGGGTCTTATCTAGGTCCTTTATTCTACTCACCGATCTCACTGTGCTTGTTTGGTCGAGATAGTTTACAGCGTAACTTAAAATTAGTATTGTTTTGCTCCTGAATTATTCTTTTTGCTCCAGATTGTTTTCACTCTATGAGATCTTTTGTGTTTCTACAAACCTGTAGCCACCATTATACTAAATAGAGAAAACTCTCCAAGCATTTCCACTAAAATCAGAAACAAGACAAGGCTGTCCACTTTCTCTGCTGTTCAATATTGTGCTTGAAAGTCTTGGGTCTTAGTGAGCAGTAAGACAAGAGAAAGAGATAAGCAGAAAAGAAGAGTGTCAAGTATTCCTGTTTGCAGATTCTGGGATTCTGTACATAAGAGACGCTGAAGACCCTTAGAAAGCTAAACACTTTCAGGAAAGTGGCAGGATACAAACTAACAGACAAAAGTCAGTAGCCTTCCTATATACCAGTGAGCAACATGCTGAGAAAAAGATCAAGGAAACACTCCCATTTAAAAGGGGGGAAAAGAATACACACAACCAGGAAAGACCTTTGCAATTAACCTTTAACACATCCAAGAAAGAAAAAGACACAAGAAGGTGGGAAGCCCTCCAAAGCTCGTGGACTAGAAGAACCAATTCCACGAAGGCTGCTATACTACCAAATGCTGAAGGCGATGCCAATCAAATTTCTGACTATATTCTTCAGAGAAATAAGGATTTTAAAGATATTTTATACTTCGGATTTATTTTGTGTGGGGGCATGGGTAGGTGTATGCCAGCGTGCATTGCAGCAGTCAGATGCCAGCCCACAACTTGAAGGAGTCTGGAGTCAGTTCTTGCTCTCTAGCATGTGGCGTGTGTTTGAAAAACTGAACTCAAGTCATCATGCTTAGAGGCATTTTTCCAGCCCCAAGAAACAAGGAACTTTTAAGAACCTAATTCTGTGGTCCTCAGTACTGAGTTAGGAATTTATTTTCTACAAATTAAATTCCACTTCAAATTTTTTTCTTTAGGAATGATTTCATTGAACCCTTTACTCCATGCTTAGAGCAAAATCCTTAATTCTCATTGTGCACTTCGGTTTTCACTTGTTCACCATCTATGTGGTGACAGCATACAAATCTACGTCAGAATGCTAGGAACCTTTCTAATGTACAAGTGAAATTTAATACAAGTCAGTTTGTATCCGGAGTAATTAAGTCATTTATTAATTCCTTCAAAGAGTATGGTACTAAATGGTTAAGGTTATAGTGCTATGGTAGAGTGGTTGCCTAGCATGCTTGAATCCTGGGTTGAATGTCCGGGACTACAATGATTTTTTTTAAGTACGAGCAGTCAGCAATGCACCATGCCTTTCTAGGATATTGAAAACAAGATAGGAGCCCTGCTATCTTGGACATTACATATGAGCAACAGAGAAAGAAACCCAAGAGGGATTTTAGAAGATGATTCCAGATGACGCTGTGGTTCTTATGGAAATCTGTGAAGAAGCTGGGAAGGGCATGGGCAGAAGACAAGGCAGCTGCTGCCTTAGGATGTCTCCCTGAAGAGTGTCTAAGTAGCCACCTCCCAGAGAAGTCAACCAGCTGAGAGCTGAGGATATAGTTCATTGGTTTAAGGGCTTGCATTGGTTTTAGTGCGAGGACCTAAGTTCAGATCCCTAGAACGTACACAAACAGCAGGTGGTTGTAGTGGTTCACCAGTAAGTCCCAGCCTTGGAAGGCAGGGACCAGATTACCCGGGAAAGCTGGCTTGCAAAACTAGCTATATTGTGCTGGTGAGTTCTGGATTTGATTGAGAGACCCTGCCTTAAAGACTAGGGTAGTATCAATAAAGAATGATTCCTAACATCAATCTCTGGCCTCTACATGCATGAACACACAAGTGCACATGCAATAAGTATACACACAGAGAGAAAGAGAGAGACAGAGAGAGAGAGGCGGGGGGGGGGGGGGGGTGGACAGAGAGAGACCAAGAGACATGCAGAAAAACAGACACGCACAAACACATACACAGAGAGAGAGAGACAGACAGACAGACACAGAGACAGGAATAAAAGAAAAAGAAGGAACATGAGGGAGGGTTAAATTCCAACAAGTAGTGCCTTCAAAAGCAGAGGCAAGCGTCACATGATTTGTGGGAAAGAGGCTACAGTGCTTATAACAGGACTGGGTTGGTACATTGGAGATGAAGTAGAGAGGTAGGATCCAAGCAATGTGGGTTTGCGTATAGGGCTTTTCAGTGTGTTGTCTAAATGAAGACACATGGGAGGGAAGCTCTTCATGGTCGCACTAAGAGCTGTGAATCAAGAACTTTACAGGCACATTGGAGCTTATAGTCATTCTGTCTGTCTCTGTCTCTGTCTTTCTGTGTGTGTGTGTGTGTGTGTGTGTGTGTGTGTGTGTGTGTGTGTGTGTGTGTAAAATTTGCTTTTCGTTTCATAAATGATCCCTTTGATATGTGAAGTTTCATTAATGGAGAGATGAGTTTTAGAAGCCGTTCAATCCTGGTGGGAGATAGTTGCTTGAACAGTCACAGTAGACCCCAAAAGAGTCAGTAATAGATGACATATTTTGTCAGTACTGTAGAGAAGTCCTGCTCTGGCTTGGTTGGATGCAAGAGGTAAGAGAAAATGAAGACTCATTTCCTAGCATGTGCCTACTGTGTCTGGCTTCTGCCTCTGAGGAAGTCAGGCTGTCATTTGTTCGTTGTGACAAACTTGAGACTAAGCTGGTCAGTGGGTGGGATCAGCAGTCTGGTCCTCTCGGCTAAGTTCCAGATGGTAAGTGAGCAACTGGGATGTACTCTTTTTACTAATTCCATTCATAAAAAATCTCATTACAACGGATCTGAATCCTCAATGAAATTATTTCAAACTTTATAAGATTCTAATAATGTGAATTTTTTTCACTTATCTTCCATTTCATTTTGCTTTCACTGTTTGTTGTTTGAAATTGCTAACATTACCAATTGCCAATCTAGGAAAGCATAGACCTGGGCGAAATCATGTTTTCCCTTTGCTATTTGCCAACCGCTGGGCGTATGACTTTGACGGTGATCAAATGCAGAAATCTGAAGGCCATGGACATTACTGGGTCATCGGGTAAGTACACAGCAAAGTCAATGGCACATCCCTACTAATTTTGCATATCTAAAACCATATGGCTTTTAATTATTTCTCTGCTGCAGGATAAAATAAAAGCAGAAAGAAAGATTACAAATCAAAATGTTACAAATCACCTTTTTAAGGTAACATTAAAATTGTGAAATCTTTTGAAAACTATCAATAGATTGACTTTGAACTTTGGTTTTGCCTTTCTTTCTTTCTTTCTTTCTTAATTTCTTCCTCCCTTTCTTTCCTGATCAAGTCTATCTAAATGCCTTATCTACTTTGTTCTCCCAGCTAGTCTGCTTGTAAGGGAAGGTCCTTAGACTTTCACCTGTGAATGAAGTCCATACAAAGATATGTGTAAAACTGAATCGGTTTCCTTTACTTGTCTGCAGAGAAACAGATAAAATGTAAGCTCACCATTTGCGTTTGCATTCTTGACCCCTTTCCAGTAAAAATTTGGAACATCTAAAGAAACTAACAAAAACAGTATGTCAAGAAACTCTTAAGGGAAATTTCTCCTGTGGGACATTAGACAAAGGAGTGAAATACCCGGTGCTTCCTTCTCCCTTCCTTTTATGGTTTTGAACATAAACTTATGCTGCAGTATTTGCCTGAAGAATGTTGAGGCAACGCAAACCAGCAGGCAGCCAGGGAAGGGACCGATTATCAGGGAAGCTTTTTATGCATATCCCACTGACATCTTAACTTGGGAGCTACATCATGAGCTACCTGTTCCCTTTTAAAAGTTTGCAAGTTATAGAATGAAGAAAGAGGTAGAAGGACAATTAAATGTATTTTGGTACTGAAAAACTTTGGGTCAGTATATATTGTTGAACCTCAACATGGCACCCAACAAGCTATTGTTTATTCTGTTCTTTTATGGTACATTTTAAGCCAAGCAGAGCGGTGTTAGAGTTGTTGTCAAATTTGAAGGTGATATGAAGCTTTTCCTCCCAAGAGTCTGTGTTTGGGAGTATTAGCTCCTTCCACCTCACAGCAGGCACAGGAGTCAACCAAGGAGCCGTTGATCTTGTGAGAAGCAAAGAATACCTGTCATCAGAGATGTGATGGGGGAAGCAGAGGGCAACAAGATTTTATTTCCTTATTAAGATACTGTGGCTCACTCAAAGAATGTCTTCCTTAGTATAGTCTTCTAAGTGTTAAAAAAAAAGTATTTCTGATCAGGTTAGATATTAGCATTGCCTTCTTACATGTATGTACACAATTCTCATAAGAAAATACCTTTTGTTCCTTGAAATATACAGATACATTTTTCTAGAGTTTAAAACGTATATACTTGCCCAACAAATTAAAATCTGATTCTAAGGAAGTAAAAGTTATGACTATAGGAAGAGACAAAATAAGATCAAGAATCTGTTGTCCCAAAGTAAGTGATTTAATGTTAAAACTATTAATGCCAAAGGGCTCACACACACTTTCTTATTTAGTAAAAATGAAATACAGTGTTTTGTGCATAGCCTGGATGCTTTAATGTTAGTAAAATTACCTCCCTTCTCATAGACCCTTATGTCAAAGTGTCTTTGATGTGTGAGGGCCGAAGACTTAAAAAACGAAAAACAACTACAAAGAAAAACACTCTCAACCCTGTGTACAATGAAGCCATCATTTTCGACATCCCTCCAGAGAATGTGGACCAGGTCAGCCTGTGCATTGCGGTCATGGATTATGACAGGTGGGTAGAGGCTGCTTGCCCCGATGCAGCTCTTCAGGTTGTCATAGCCGGGTCACATCAGCTTCCCAGGTTACTCACTGTTACAGCAGATCTAACTTAAACAACTACAGGGCCATGATTCATGAGAATCTATAGTTATAGTTTTGGTTTGGTTTCATCTCCAAAGCAGTCTAACTTAACATTCATCTGCAGCTGAAGAAAGGGTGAGTCTGGAAGTAGTATGAAGTTCATGACATGCAAAAGAACTATTCAAAGGTCTTTCTTCAGAATGACAAATACTGCAATCCAGAGCTGGCTTCACAGAGGGGCTACCCCACAAGGAAAGGGGTGCTCACCCCACTCTAAAGTGCACTGGCTTGGAGGGCCGACAAGTCTCTGGGATTCACTTTCTCCACTGGGAAACTGTTAACATGCTGTGGAACGCGGGTGATGACAGAATTGGAAGATTCATAGCCATCTGCTCAATGGTCTTATACATTGCTCTGTTGGTAACTTTACCACTTGTGTAGAATGTGAATATAGAATGCCTAAGAGAACACTCACTGAACTATGAGGAGTGGTAGTAATGTACCATTCAATGTCTCAAAGTCAGCCCCTAGAAATAAAAATAAACCCAAATAAATGATTTTCTGATCTATTTGAGTTTATATACTAAAGGAAAACACCTGTGATGGCTTTTCCATGGTAGAAAAAAATCTGGAATTATCCCACACTTCCGATCTTAAAAAATGTTGTGAATGTTTTCATGAATGGCCCTGTTTTGCTTTAGCACCTACCCCTATTGACTTCTCAAAGCAGTGAGTTTGGGTAGGTACAGCTAAGCTTGTCATTGACCAAATGTTAAGGCAATAGATCTTAATGCCACCTAAATCAGGAAGATAGAAATCATTTCTCCAAATAGCCTTGTTGGGAAACTTCATAGGCAAACATACTGGAGCATCCTAAAATCACTCCCAAAGTCAGAGAGGCCTATCCAAGTGACTCTGTAGAAAGCCTTTCAGATTACACTGTTTCAAGAACCAGCTTGTGAAGGAAGTGGTGATGGCAGAGACATGTAACCTGAACATTCAGGAGGCAGAGGCAGGAGGCTCATCTCAGCTACATAGTAAGCCCGAGGACAGCCTAGGCTACATAAGACCTGGTCTCAAAAAGATTAGGAAGAAAGAAGCCTTGCTTGTCAGGTGCAGTTTTGACTTTCCTGGTGGGATCTAGCTTCTGCCCTTAACTCCTAGGAACTCTTCTGAGCATCCGATTTGTTTGTTTATGAAATGAGATGCTAGTAATGTTATCCAGAGCCAGAGTAGTAGACTTGGGGTTAATTATGTCATTAAACTCAAAATTCTTGGAAAACTATCTTTACATAGAAGATTCTCAAATGTATTAGTTACCCCCAGTCCCAATGGATACATCGACAGAACACTTCCACACCCAAGGCTGCTGTGGGATGGTCTGTATGTCAAATGTGTTGCTGATTGGTCAATAAATAAATCACTGATTGGCCCGTGGCCAGGCAGGAAGGATAGGCGGGACAAGGAGGAGAATAGAGCTGGGAAGTGGAAGGCTGAGTCAGAGAGACACTGCCAGCCGCCATGATGACAAGCCGCATGTGAAGTTGCCGGTAAGCCACGAGCCATGTGGCAAGGTGTAGATTAATGGAAATGGATTAATTTAAGCTGTAAGAACAGTTAGCAAGAAGCCTGCCACGGCCATACAGTTTGTAACCAATATAAGTCTCTGTGTTTACTTGGTCGGGTTTGAGCAGCTTGGGACTGGCAGGTGAGAGAGAGATTTGTCCTGACTGTGGGCCAGGCAGGAAAACTTTAGCTACACAAGGCTCAGGAAGCAATGCAGAAAAGCAGGTGGAAAGATCATAAGGGCCAGAGGGTCAGGCAGTTTGCTGGGAGACTGTCTCCTAGTAATGTCAGAAGCCACACCCATGAAATATCACCAACATGGCTGCCTAAATGTGAGCCGAACACAGACTACACCAGCTGACCTGCCAAAGAGGATAGAGAAGAGCCTACTAGGCCCCAGCCCTACACCAAGAACTATAGGCGACTGAGGAAAGCAGAGAGCAGGAGAGGTGGTCTTCTCCAGGGAAGAGCACAACAATAAGTTGTTCAATGCTAAATGGTCAGCCCTGGAAACACACATGCAAGTAACATTATACAGACTGAAGAGCTTATATTTAGGAATTCATATGTATATATGAACATATACATATATGCATACAATAGCAATTAATGAAAGAAGAGGCCATGAGTGTGAAGGAGAGTGGAGAGCAGTCTATGAGACTGTCTGGAGGGAGAAAAGGAGATTATGGTGTAATTATATTTTAATATCAAAAATTTTAAAAATAAAAATAAATATTATATTAGCTATCATTTTTATTGGTTGCAGTAAAAATGGGGCATAAATAGAAAATAGTAACGTCAAACAGTATGCTTTGTTATGCAATGATAAATCATAGTGGTGAGACTAAACACAACCCTGCCCCACTTAATTATATTGCCAGCAAGAGCATACTTACCCAAATAATTTAGAGTCAGTAAAATAGAGACTATTATGCAAGAAAGTGAGCACTGTCCTCTTGGCATATAGTCTAACCCCCATTACAGAAAAGAGTGGGATTTTCTTTACAGTGTGGGGGTTTAGTAGGCCTCATTCCCAGAGAGCAGCATCGTCAAAATGAGGGGTCTGCTGGTTTCCCGTGCACACACTTTCATTGTCAACATTGCAGAGAACTGAACAGCTTTGTGAGGTTCTAATATGAATTTATTTTGTGTGTTGATGTTATTTAGTTAATTATCTGTGGGCCTTTTTGTCTGTCTGTGTTTGTGTGTGTGTGTGTGTGTGTGTGTGTGTGTGTGTGTGTGTGTGTGTGTGTGTATTTGTTTGTAGGCCTCAAAACTTTCTCTGTAGGTAATGATGAACTTGAACTTCTGATCTTCCTGTCTCCACCTCTCAGCCATGCCCCACACCTGGCCTAGTTAATTTTTATTTAGGAATTTTCATTTAATCAAAACTGGTACATAACAATCCCTTCTCTGTAGGGAATATGTTCCATCATGTTCCATAGATAATGGAAACCAACAGCAGTGAGTCCCAGATAGTCTGTTCTTCCTACATGTACAGATCTTCCTACATATACAGATCTTTATAAAGCCTACTTTATAAATTGTACACGAGAAGAGATTACCAATAACAAATAATAAAATAGGACCATTATAGCAATATACTGTATAAAGTATTATTTAATATTGATGTGTTATTTGTTTCTAGAACTTTCCATTTGATATTTTCAGACAGTGATTGGCCATGGATCACTGAAAGTATATAAAGTGAAATCTGGGTCTGGAGACTGCCATACCATGCGGAATCTATTGCTCTTGATGATATGTTAAAAATTGTACTGAAATGTAGAAAATTCCACTTACCTTTGAATTATGATGGTGAAAGTTTGATATTCCACCAATCCTAGGGTTGGACACAATGAGGTCATAGGTGTGTGTCGAACTGGACTAGACGCCGAGGGTCTTGGGCGAGACCACTGGAATGAAATGTTGGCATACCACCGGAAACCAATCACACATTGGCACCCTTTGCTGGAGGTAAGGATGTGGATGTTGCCTCTGCCCTCAGTTACACTGATGTTACTTAAATATTTTTTATCTGCTAACTTTCATTTGACATTTCACTTATTCACCTTTCAAAAAAAATGCTTTCACTTTTTTTCAGAGTCTCTCACATCGTCTATTCAAAGTTCTGTCTGCCTCGGGGATTTAAAAAAATGATTAGATGTCTAGGGTTTCTTATTCAGTAAGCCTGTGAAAGAAGTGTGTCATTTCCTTCCATAGCCTTAGGCTTACATCAGTGACCAGGGGCCATTGTCTTAAGTTCATTACTCAGTGGGAACTGAGCTCTGGTACTGCTTCTCTGTGAAAAAAAGCCACTTTACCTAGAGCCCCTGTCCATTTTTAAATCCTTCATAAAGCACTGCTGTCTGATACATCTGTATAAGGGATACATATGTCCTATCCAATTCTGGTCAGAAAGAATATATAGAAATTAAAATATCAAGGCACCAACTTAGCTGCATTCAAGGCTTGGCCATGCTGTGTGCCTTTTATTATAATGCTTTGGTGAGTGACCTGACCTCCTCTGAGTTTCGGCGATGCCTGTTCAATAGGAGTAACTTACAGTGATGATGATGAGCACAGTGTTGCACAGATTGACTCAATATGAGGTCTTAACGGCTGTGTCCACACCTGAGTTATGTTAGTAAGGATGAGTAACCATTTTTGCTTAGAACTTTTAGTCAAAGTTAGTCTACTGGACATATTAAGTATTGCTTGGCTGAATGCCTTTCTTTCCAACAAAGACAGTTGCTGGAACCTCTTCAAGAGCCACAACATAAACTAAGACATAATGTGTTCACAGGAGGATGGAGGACTTTGTGAATTTCCATAAAATGAATACTTATAATAGCCACAAAATAAGTAAATAATACTTAGCCTTTCTGAGGGGTAAGTTGCGGTTTGGTACACTAAGCTTTGGTTTTAAAATGGGAGAGAGACTGCGCACTGTAACTGACTGAATGTATCAGTAGGACCGGGTTTCAGTCTCAGCTTAGTTACAAGAATGAGACCATGGCTGAGCTATTCAAGACATTTTGTGGAAACTGAGTGAACATGTCATGCTCAAGCCATGGAAGTAAACTTCCATCACAGATCCCATTTATATATAAATGTCCAAACACTCTACTTGACTTCATAATTTACTGTAAATCATAAGACACAGACACACACACATATATAAACAATACAGATACAGACACAGACATACACAGACACACATATAGCAGACACGCACACACATACAGACATACACATATAAATACCCACAGACACACACACATACACAGACATACGCATATAAAGACCCACAGACACACACACATACACAGACCTACATATTTACAGAGCATATATACACAGACATATAAATGCACATACATACATTCACGTGTTATTTTAGTTTCTTTTCTATTGCTGTGAAGAGACACTATGACCAAGGCAAATTATAAAAGAAAGCACTTAATTGGGTCTTATGTACAGGTTCGGCGGGTTAGTCCATGCTTATCAGTGTGGGAAGCATGGAGACAAGCAGACAGGCAGGCAAGGTGCTGGAGCGGAAGCTGAGAGCTTACTTCTGATCCATGAGCACAGTAGAGAGAGACTGGAGTAACCTGGTGTGGGCTTTTGGAGCCTCAAAGTTGTGGCACATCTCCTCCAACAAGGCAGCACCTCCCAATCCTTCCTAAACAGTCCACCCACTTGGAAACAAGCATTCAAATATACAAGCCTATGGGGCCCATTTTCATTCAAACCACCACACACATATACAGACACAAACACACATGCACACAGACACACACATACATAGACACATAAACACACACAAGATGCATGCACACACACACACACACAGAGAGACATACATACACATATATAGGCACAGACAAGCACCACCTACAAACAGACATGTGCACAGAGACATGGGTATACACTGACACACATACACAGACACACACTCATGCATACAATACACAGACACAAACACATACACACAGACATAGATCTACAGAAACATATAGACACGCACATACACATATATACACATAAATGAAAACACATACACATATACACACAAAAATCCATATATGCACACATGTACACAATCACACAAGTATTCCCCTGAAATCTTTCAGAAGCAGAGACAACTGTATTATCTGGATAGCTCAACACCTACTAAAGTACATTTTATTTGGTCTCAGTGGTAAGTACTGGCTAAAACACACTTTAGTGCTTGTTATATAATTGTGCTCTTTTTCCCCTGGGTCTCATTTTTTAGCTTGAAAATGGAGCCTAAGCTCCAGAATATAGAAAGGGAAAGAACGCTTTGCTATATGGGGAGCCACGCTGAATGGAGATGTGGACTCGGGTACTTGTCCCTCTGATATCTGATCTTGGAGAAGCTGAGTGCCCTTCCATGCCAATGAGATGGTCCAAGGAAATGGGAGCATATGAGCAAGATTTAAACAATTATAAAGAAAAGCATACAGTCTGAAGTATATATATATATATATATATATATATATATATATATATATACACATATATACACACACATATATTATATATATAAACATGGAACTGTTTGTCTGTTGAAGAACCATAGGCATTGTTTGTATCAAGAACAAGAATAAAAGAACCCTTTTCAATCTCCTTTCAGGCCATAATATGGCATTAGATCACACATAGTTTTCTAGTAACTGGATCAGGGACAACTGGTATTAAAAGATGAATGTACTTTCCTCTACAAATATCTTTTTCTCATCCCCTTTGTCTCTATTCAGTAGACAAACAGATTATATGGACCACAGACATATGCACAGCCTGAATTTAGCATTATAGGAAAAATTAAGAGTGAAATTATATTTTTATTGTTAGAGAAAGAATAAATGAGAAAGTAATAGTTATTTAAGAACTGAATGAGTTGGTCAGCAGAGATGAAGGCCTCATTTAGTAAAATCTACTTACTTCAAATTCATTCATTAAACTCCATTAAACTCTCAAGATACAGATACGTAAGGATCATGAGAATCACTCTTATCACTTGGGGTTCCCACCTCATAAACTGACCTTTTCCGTTTATGAATTTCCCAGATGAAAATCCCTTCCTGTCAAAGCAAAGGGAAGACAGTCTTGAATTAGTTACAATTTGTTGCTGTAATAAGACACCAAGACCAAAAGTGACCTCTGGAAGAGCTTCTTTTGGGCTTATGATTCCGAGGAATATCCACATCATCGAGAAGCACAGTGGCAGGAGGCCAGAGGAGGAAGCAGAGAAAGCACATTTTTATCCACATACAGGAAACAAAACAAACTTGAAGAGAGGCACTGAGGCCGTAAACCCTCAAAGCCCACCCAACAAGGCTATACCTTCCAAAGGTTCCATAAGCCTCCCAAACAGTCCTCAAATATGTGAGCCTATGGGAGTCATTTCTTGTGCAAACTGTCATAAGTATGTTATGTCTACAACTTCCTATTGTTCTTACTCTGCACTATGGTAAGTTATATTATAGAAAAAAAACTAAACATCTCCCATAAAGTGTGGGGCTCTTCTAAAGACATAAAAGTTGCCATGGGACATTTTTCTGTGTACCTTTTACGTTCCAAGCACTGTGTTTTACAGGAAATATTTGTGTTTTCTCTCTCTGCCTTGGGAGGTGAGTTCAGGAGAGTGTGGAGGTTATATAAACCTTCTCTTCAGAAATTTGCAAATTGTGCTTGACTATCCACTAATCACAGAGAGACATGATTGTCATTATATGCTTTTTCTTCATTAGATCAGATATTCTGAAATTCTTCTCTTTCAGTTACCTGGCCGGGCAACCAGCTTTGATAGTCAAGGATCCTGTTCATCTCCAAGGCCACCGTCCACACCATAAAGCCTCCAAATAAGACCATGTCACAGAAAGACCTAGAATCATGTGTTCATCGAATCAGACACACACACACACAAACACAGAACATTTGACTTCTTCACTTAAAATATACCCATGATAAGGAATAACTTGATGTATAATTTCTTTTTGTTTTACCTCTTGGTTTATTTTTGTTTTTAACTTTGAGCATATCAATACATTTTACCTGAGTACTAATAGTCCTTAGTTACATAAGTTGTCCTATATTTCATGTCATCTATGAGCACAGTGTTTTAATATGTTTTAATTCTTTGCTTAAGCAAAGAAATAAGTATTTGACAAGAGAATCTACATGTGTGTAAAATTAAATATAGTTTATTCCTGTGTTGTATGAAATAGTAAAATGTGTCATTTCCAACTGTACACACAGTTCTATGTAAACTTTAGTGAACATATTTAAATTGGTTCCATAGGTTCAACTCCTTCAAATTCTAATTAATGTCACTTGTCTGATAATAGTTTTTCCTTCATAATCAGCATTTTTGTCATTGAGGTTCCTCCCTCAAGCTTCTTTTTTGGGACACTAAGCTATGCTACAAAATGAAAAATCATTTTGAATATAAATGTACAAAGTGATGTTGAGTAGCTGGTAAACAAGGCTTCCAGCTTACAATGTCTTACTGTCCACATTAGTTCAGGCACCTGCTGTTATTCTTAGTTGGTAGTTTTAAAACTTCTAGTAGTCTTCACCTCAAGTGTAGCATTGGTATCCCTAAGTAACTACAGTCATAACTTTGTCTTTCAAGGTTCTCCAGTACTGTGGTGTGTCTGTTCCGTGACTTGGAGCTATCATGTGGCTTCTATGGTTTTGATGGATCACACTTCACAGAAACCAAAGGTCTAGCCAAGTTCTCTGTGCCATTGTCCTTAGACAGGCAGGTGATGACTCCTCCACCCTCTCAGGAGCTCATTACCAGAGCTGGAGAGTCTCCAGGAAAGCTGGACTTATTGCTCACCAAAATACAGATGCATGTTGTAAACAGTACAACTTTCACATGTAATAAAAACAAATACATTCCAAGGGACCAAACATCTAGTCCTTTAATAAAAGGCATTGACCTTCAAAGAGATTAATGATCAAACCATTAGAGGTAAAAAAAAACTATGCAAATGCTTTTTTTTCACAAGAGAGAACTTTCTTTGAAATCATGTCAGCTTTTTATTGTCTCATTTTAAGACCCCATTGGAAGGAATCTATGTGGAATTTTTCTAACCTTACATTCGAGGTGTACGTATTTAAAGTTTATTCCACAATAAGATTTTTTAAAGGGAAGAAAATCTATATTTGGAATTTTAAAACAAGTTCATTGGGATGAGAAAGTTTTTGACAAGTAATGAATTTTTATATTTGTAAAAATCCCTTATTTCAAATATTAGGAAATATATTTTAAAAGTCTTGAAATTTCTCTCATAAAGATTTAGTTACTGTTAACCAGTATAAGCATGTCTCACATTAAGATTTTCAGTGTAAACTCAGTTCTGCCTAAAATGCCTATGTCAAGCTAATGAAAATATACTACTAAACTTTTTCTCATTAAAAATAAATCTGTCTGAAAACACTTGACTATCCCGTCAAGCCAAAAAAAACCAACAACAAACCCTACTCATTACAGAGAGAGTCAAGAAGACAACTAATCTGAACGTCTTTGTTATACTGTAAAATGCAAGCTGCTAAATGGAAAGAAAAAACTTATAATCTTAGTGTGGTAACATTTAGGGAAGTATTTTATCAGTAGATATAGCTGTGACATTTCTTAAGTCAGGAGAGTATGCATTTTCACTCAAAACGAGATCTTACAGACTTACTTCTTGTAAAATTACAGCTTGTTTCCTAAAGAGAACAGGCTAAACTTTCTGAGGAACAAAAGGGAGCTATCAGATAACCAGAATATTTTAAATAGGAGGCGAGTAGATGAAAATTAGATTGGAAAAAAATTTAAAACCCAAAATTATACAAGATAAAGTCATTTATTTCTCATGAGAATTACGTCAAAGCATTTGCTAAACCTATGAAAGAGATTAAAGAGGAAAAGTTCAGAACTTTCAGCTAATATGTGAGAGTTTTCTCTCACAGTAATAAACAAATTCATTAGAACAGTTCATGCTGAGAAAATACATTCCTTATGCACCTTACGTATCATTCCCCCCCACACACCATTTTATCCATCTACACACAGAAACTTCTCTCTGCTTGTGAGGTACTGTTAGTTTCTCAGTATTTAAAATATGGTTCAGTGTTCCAGATGCCCTCCACTAAACTTGTGGGATGGCATGTACTAATGTAGGTCAATGCAGCATGAAGCTGTAATTTAGGTATACAGCAAACTCCTGATTTCAGGGACACATTCAGGGACTTACCAATATATGCATCTAGGAAATAAGATTCAGTGTTGCTTTGTGGGCATAACCGCACAGTTGCTAAGTACACAGGATACGAAAGACACCAGTATGTGTCTAGTGCACAATCATTTCACAAAACCAGCAGTTGATTCGTTTGGGGTTTGGATACGTTCCTCATGGGTGTCCTACCTTTGATTTTAGTCCAAAGCTCCGGGCATGATCACTGGCTTCCTGATGCACTTTTCTCAAGAGTTATTTATTTTTCTCTCAGGCTACCCTGTGTTGCTGGTACTTCCCATGTAAAACTCACCATATCCATACACACTCAGTTCAGGAACAAATGTTAGGACAAATGCCTGGGAAGCAGTGGGAGGAAGCGGAGCCCATCGTGTACCTTCATGTGGCTTTGTGGTGTGTGCACAATGCTAGTTACTGCAGGGAGCTCACAAACGATCGATCCTGACTCAGGGTTTATATTAGAGCAGATGTATTTGAACTATTTGGTTGTGATATTTAATTGATATTTACAACTGCACTTGGTCTCCTGTAGTGTTTATTCTTTTCAAAGTTTCCAGGCTCAATAAAAAAAGAAAAACTCTCCATCTCTTGAAGTTTTCGTATAATGGCTACTTTGAAAGTAAAAATGTCAAAATTCCATTCCCATGCCAACTCTACTATCTATAAAACAAAAAAATAATTTACTCCAGAATGAGATGTCTGAGCAGCCAGGGATTATTACAATAAAGGAACATAAAATCATAGCATTGAACACAAATCAATTTCTTTCTACCTCTTCAAAAAGACTACTTGATATTATTCTTGAGCAGAATTTGTCTGATTTTTGTCATAACAGCTGTGATATTACCAACCAGTTTAATTGCAAACAGTTACAGAACTGGGCTGGCATGGCCTTGAGAAACCATTTGGCCTCTTTGTTAAACATAAAGAAAATGACACCTTGTGTCACAACTTGGTCTTGTAACAATTACAGTTTTTCTGAGCCGACCTAGTTGGTTCCAATGCTTGTGGTTTTTAGACTAAAAGTGTACTGCTATCAACAAGTAGATTTTTAAAAACCTGAAAATAAAATAACTTAAAGAAACCATATAGTTAACGAAAAAGATATTAAAACATAGCAAATAAAGATGTTGAGATGTCAAAAAAAGAGGAACTCTTTGTATTTTAAGTCTTAGTGGACAATAAATTCTCAAATAATGTTCTGAAAGTCCATGGCTCAGCATTCAATTGTTACTCAGAGACATGACTCAGTATACGATTTATCTGAACCTGCTGTAAGGACCTAATATTTAGGAGAAAATGAATTTAATATTTTACACAGGAAAAAGAATTGATCAAATAAAATGCTGTTTCCAAAACTTTATCTCCTAGGTATTCTATTAGCCAAGATCAATATTTATCCAATAATCTGTCCATTAAGATTAAGGTAATTACTTATCATCTAGCATTAACAGTTAATCAAAAAGATATGCATTTGAACAGTGGCATTGCATATTTGATCAAAATGCAGTTAAATCATTATTTTCCTTTCATTGTGTCTATCATGTAACTAAAAGAAGTTTGATTTGGTAGCATGATAGTACTATAAAGAGATGGAGAAAACCATTCAGTTAAGGACCAAGGTAAGCCTTAATGATTTACTTAATGAAAATATTTGAATACTAAAAAAATAGTGACTGAAAAAAATAGGTAAAAAATGTTTAAGAGAAATGATAGTATTTTGTATGTCTGAGATGATTAAATACACTCCTCCAAGGGGGAACTATTTATATAAATCCTATTTTTATCTCTATGGTGACAAGAAATATGAGTTGCTCTTGATATATTTATATGGAAATGTTTTAATCTCAAGCCAACAATAATTTTTTATGCAGACCATGAGACCCTTTCCAAACAGTGAAACTATGTCTGATTTCATCACAGAGGGTAAGAATAACCTGTTGTCTTCTGACATTCTGTTGAGTCGCATCTACTGTGCACAGAATGCCCTACTTCTTGAACATGAGATTGAGTTTTAATTATTCAATATCATGAGGATTTTGTTTCCTGAAAATAATTTACTGACTATTGTATTGATGTAATTTACGGATATGTCAAAACTCACTAAGAATAAGTTTTGAGGTTACAAAGTTAATGCATGAAATGGTTAGATTCACTGAGGCTTTCCATATTGCTTCTTGTGTGCCTCATCTGAACATTAAGACAGGGAATTCTATCTTTCCATGATTTGCCAAAAACTTTGCACACCCCAAATAACTGCTACTCCCCCCCATTATATAAAACAACAAAATAACCGTTCTCTATAAATACTTATGTAAATTATCTCATAGGTTTCATTAAGATTTGCTGTTTTTCTTGTAAAGTCCTTTAAGCTTTGCATTTAAAGAATGTAGTAGTATCAATGTGAACAGCTCACTGCGTAAAGGAGAAGCAGGTGAAACTCCAATATGTAAAATATTTGCACTTCTAGCTTGTTCCTTAAACAAAGAGTACAATGTGCAGGTTGTCAACATTAGCTGCTATTAACCCAAAAGAGCAATGACTGGGTTCACATTCAAACATGGAGAAACCACAGAACACTGTGAATTCAGAACTAAGAGAAGTCGAACTAGAAAAGAACTGGCTCCCATCATAAGCGTGGTGTTTCCTCTAACTCCCTTACAAGTCCATGTGTACTGATAGGAACTGATGATGTTCTTCTTCCCACAGAGCCTCAGGCAATTTGAATCCATCACAGCTCATCTATTTTGAATACCTTTAAGTCATTGTTCTTAATGTAACTTTTCAAGTGAAGTTTGTGATTTAATACTTAGCCATTGTTTAAGACAGTATCTTTGACTTCTACATTATAGAAGAGAAATTGAAGTCTTGAAATTTGCGTCTCTAACTTTTGTACATGGTGACCAGTCATTTGTGAACCTTGACATCTTATAATCATATTACTTAGAGCAGATGTTTCTGTAAACCCTCTGAAAGATGTTACACATTGTATTTTGGTATTTTTACTGTGTCTTCTTTAGAGTGTATGAACATATTTGTCAGGATCAGATGAATTATGTAACAAAGAAACCTCAAAGCTGTTATGAAGGATAGTTCATAATTACTTTTGTAAAAGAAATGGAAAAGCACTTGAAATATAATTTTACTGTTTCATATGTATTTTAAAAAAGAAATAAAGTGATTATAAATAATTTTATCTGTTACTAACGAAATCCCTTTTCCAGATTTAATTTTTGCAAGATAAATATGAAACTTTTCTTGAATGTGAATTAAGCATAGTTTCCAGTTGCCTTTAATACTCACAGAGGGGGACAGATAAGCGCAGCCCACTTCTGCGCCATCGTAAGTGCCTCTTAACAAAGCGCATTTTACTGAGAGACAAATATAACAGGTTGACTGAATGGTTTCCACGGTTGGAATGTAGCTCAGTCATAGAACATTGGTCTAGAAACCTTGAAGTGGGCTCCAACATCAACAACACAACAATGAAAACTGTGACCTGGGATAAAAGCCTTCTGCTACGAACATCCAGAGACACAGAAAAATGGCTTCTGTGGTTAGCTCGGATGAATGGGCAGCTGTAGAAATATGGTAGGACTAGAAAGACATGCTTGATGATGAAACAACAGGAAACAAAATTAAAAAATCTAGACAGAAACCCCAAATGGCACGGGTAAGTTTCCCTGGCTGTCACTGCAGCTGACAATATTTTAAAATATGCTTTTCTTGAAATTAAAAATAATCATCCAATTCTAAAATTACCATAAATTTTAGTAACAGAAATCAGTTGCCATCATTAATATATTTAATGAGTCTGATTAATAAGGAGAAAGGCTTTGGTGTAACACGAATTCCTAAATGGTCTTTTAATAAAAAAAAAACCCGGTACCAGATATTGGTGTAAATGCTGAAAGATGAGAGAGGCAAAGGATGAGCCACCTCTTACCTCTAGGACTTCCCAGCCTGAAAAACTTTAGTTCCTGTCTCCTCATGCCTTATACACCTTTCTCTACCCACCATATTACTTACTTCCTATTGCTGGAACTGAAGGTGTATGACATCCCACATACTGGGATTAAAGGTGTGTGTCACCACTGCCTGGCTCTGTTTCCCTCCTAGACTGAGTCAATCTCATGTAGCCCAGGGTGATTTTGAACTCATAGAGATCCAGACGGATCTCTGCCTCCTGAGTGCTAGGATTAAAGGTGTGTGCCACCACTGTCTGGCTTCCGTGTTTAATCTAGTGGCTTGTTCTGTCCTCTGATCTTCAGGCAAGCTTTATTTGATATACAATATATCACCACACTTTCGTGTGCTCAGTTGGTTCTCTGGGGAAGTATCTTTTTAATATAAATTTCCACATATATACTAATAAAATGTTTTCCTTACACAAAAGGGCCACCAGATTGCACAGCTCCAGCAAGTGTCACTCACAATGTACATGGTCTGTCTGAATGGTGCCACCAGGAAACACAAAGGCAAACACCATTGCTTAGTAAATAGTAAGGTACAGAAGACACAAGTGAAACCATAGAACTTCCTTAACTAGAGGCTATCGCTGAAAGTTCAAATCAACAAGAATTTAAATCCAGGTTATTTTCATTGGTGATAGTGCCTGGAACAAACAGAACATAAGTCATGAATCAAGTTTGATGACATACCTTACTCCTACTCTGTATAAAACTTTAAAGATGATATGACCATTTTTAAAAAGTGGGAGAAAGTTGTGTTGATACACAGTAGTTAATGGCAGAGAACGACATCGCTCTAAACTTTGAACTATATTCAAGTCTGAGCTTTTATCCTACACAAGTCATGAACTATGGGAGTACATACTTCAAAATACTTTCACATACACTTTCCTTAATCTCTAAAACAGTTCCTCACTTTCATTTAACAAAGACGGTAATCGCAATCAAGAAGTGAAATGAAAACCCAAGGTCACGTAGTTGGAGTTGGGTTTCAAATCTAGGTCTTTCACCATCAGGTACACATACATGTTACAACCTTGTGCTTTGCCAGGGGGGTTCATTAAACAGACAATGAGATACAAGAAGATGGTTTCCTCTTGGGTAAATCATCAGACTCTCGCTTGCAAATGAAAATCAACTGTGCCTGGCTGACCTAGCGGTTAGTTAATGTGTGTACCACTGTGTAACCAGCACCACTCCCACTGGTAACGGCTAAAACCCACAGATGCCATAAATGGTTTTGAAAGTCAGAAGATCAATGTCTGTGTGCATCAAATGGCAAAGAACTAGACAACCGTGATCTGACCAACAAATGAGAGAAAGAAAGAGAGAGAGGGGGGGAGGAGGGAGGGAGGGAGGGAGGGAGGGAGGGAGGGAGGGAGGGAGGGAGGGAGGAAGGAAGGATGGAAGGAAGGAAGGAAGGAAGGAAGGAAGGAAGGAAGGAAGGAAGGAAGGAAGGAAGGATAGGAGGATTGGCTTAAAAACTGTTCAGTGTGCTGAATGAAATCAAATCCAGACACCCAGTTAGTCACTGTTTCATTTTAATTTTCTTATTTCAGTCTTTGCAACCCCTTTTCTGTATTTTCTATATAAGCCTTGATAAGTATTATTAAAACTTCTGGATTTCCATAGAAAGGTTCTGTGATGTACAGTTCTGCCTCTTTAAATGTGTTTATGGATGCCCTATACTTACTCACAAGCCTTTAAATGAATTTTAAATGAGTAAAGCGGTAGCAGAACAGATGGAACTCTGTGAAAAGTAAAAACAGTTTGAATTTTGACCCTACTCTAACAGACACAAAAAAATGGATTCCATGTATATACCCTCTGCTCTGCTCCTCCAGTCCCACCCATGATTCCAAGCTGATCCTATAGTAGATTTCCTCTTGCAGGGGCTTTGGAAGACCAGCTTGGCCCCCACCCTACTCCTTCTCATGGCCTCACTATTCTCCTAACCTCCTGCCACTTTCTCAAAAACTCAATTCTTGTTTGTTTACCTAGATCTTCCATTTTGGAACACATTGGATCTCCCTGGGAAGGGGAAATAGAATAGATTCTTGTGGGTAGACTGGGGGAAGGTGAAGATGGGAACAGGAGGGATCAGACGGGGGGGGGGGGTTTACAGGGAGAATTGACTAGAATTTGAGGGGCAATGTGGAACAATTGCAGTGGGAACCCCATGGATCTATGATGGTGACCCTAGCAAAGATAATAGGGGATATGGAGCCTGAACTGGCCATCTTCTGTAACCAGGCATGGCTTCCAGTGGTGGAACTGGGACACCAACTCAGCCACAGGAGGTACTGGGGTAATGGTGGCATAGAACTTGTTTGAGTGGCCAACCAATGATTGGTCCAACTTGAGGCCTATGCCATGAGAGGGAGCCCATGCCTCACACTACCTGGATGACCAGGAACCAGAGGCTGGATAGTCCAGAGACCTTGAATAGAACCAAACACAACTGGCAAAAAAAAAAAGTAAGTGAAATGACTCCTAATAACACTCATAGATTGGTGCCTGGCCCAGTTGTCATCAGAAAGGTACCACCTAGCAACTGATGGGAGCAGATGCAGAGACTCACAGCCAAAGACTAGGCAGAGCCAGGGGAACCCTGCAGAAGAGGGGGAGGAACAGGAGCCAGAGGTGATAAGGATACTATGAGAACATGACCCCACTTAACCAACTAGCCAGGACTCATAGGGGCTCACAGAGACTGAACTGACAATCAGAGATCCAGTATGGGTCAGCACTAGGTCCTCTGCATATATGTTATAGTTGTGTAGCTTGGTCTTCTTGTGGGACTCCTAACAATGGGGTGTCTCTGACTCTTTTGCCTACTCTTGGGACTCTTTTCTTTCTGCCGGATCTCCTCGTCCAGCCTTGATAGGAGGGCTAGGTGCTTAGTCCTATTGTAACTTGTTTTGCCAGGTTCGGTTAATATCCCTGGGAGGCCTGCTTTTTTCTGAAGGGAAATGGAGGAGGAGTGGATCTAGTGGGGAGGAGGGGTGAGGTGGTGGGGATGACTGGGAGAAGTGGAGGGAGAGGAAACTGCAGTCAGAATATAATGTATGAGAGATGAATAAAAAAGCCTCACTTCTTGCAGGACAGTCTCTTCTAAAAAAAATTTTTAAAAAATTAAAAAGGAGGGAGAGAGGACAATTGGGGCTGGGCCTGTGAGGAGCTGGGAGGAGGAATGGGTGTGAATATGATCAAAATATATTGTATAAAATTCTCAAAGAATTAATAAAATATATTATTAAAAAACAACATTCAATTCTCAGGTTTCTACAGACTTTCCTGTTTAAACAGGAAGCAATCCTTAACAAGGTTGTAATGGTCAGGGATATCCTTCACGCTCACACTCCTTTCTCCCTCTCTGACCTTTCCCAGATTGTAGAATGATTTGATGCTGGTACTGGGGCAACACACCAAGGCATTGCAGCACACCTCACACCCCTATAATCTATCTTTCCAGAACATTGATGTTATTTGCTCCTCTATCATGCTGGAATGAAAAACCCACATCTAGGCACTAGTTTTTGTAGACTCTCCATATCCAGGATGTCTACTACACACCTCTGGAAAGAAGGCAGCCTCTTCTACCAACTCTAAGTAGGATCATCTTGACTACTCCCTGATCCGGTGCTTGTGCCCCATTTCCTTGCCTTTCTGATCCAGGGTGTCTCTCAAGACAGGATCAGATCCCAGAAATTACCCAGAAGCTTTCATGAAATGCCTTACAGATTATTTCCTTAAAAATTCTAATCTAGAACCTGCTTCTAAGGCAAGAAGACTGTACTTGTGTGCCCACTTAATCTCTCAGTCCTCCCTAAACATTAGTGGGGTCAGGGGAAGACCTCTAAGAACTAGAGGATGTTAGACTGGTGTCTTAGGGTTTCTACTGCTGCAACAAAACACAATGACCACAAAGCAAGTTGGAGAGGAAAGGGTTTACTAGGCTTACACTTCAGCATTGCTGTTCATCACAGAAGGAAGGACAGAAACTCAAACAGGGCAGGATTCTGGAGGCAGGAGCTGATGCAGAGGCCATTGAGGAATACTGCTTAATGGTTTGCTTCCCATGACTTGCTCAGCCCACCTTCTTGTAGAACCCAGAACCAGCAGCCCAGGGATGGCACCACCCACCATGTGCTGAGCCCTCCCTCATTGGTCACTAAATGAGAAAATGCTTTGCAGCTGGATCCCAAGGAGGCATTTCCTCAGCTGAGGCTCCTTCCTCTCTGATGACTCCAGCTTGTGTCAAGTTGACACACAAAACCAGCCAGTACAATTGGTTCTGATGGAGGTGGTATGGAAAGAAAAGCAGACAGTCATCTCCGGAAGCAGAATTGTCCTTTAATCAGAATGAAAATCCAGACTCTCTCTGTGGAAGGAAGATGATGCACATGTGCTGTGGTGGTGTTGGGGTTTTATAGGATGGAAAAGGGGGAAATGTGGGGCTAGAAAAGTCCATCTGCAGGTCAGTTTCCCTGCAGTGGGAAAGTGGCTGATCCCAGCTGGTTTGCTATGTGATTCTCCTGATTAGAAATTTTCACAAATGTTTTCTGTGAAGTCAGCTTTCCTGTCCAGAGCTTCTCAGTCCACCTGAGGTTTTTAGGTCATCAACCCTTCATTCCAGACCCTGAAAACAAATTAAAAGAAGAGGGATATTGTGTTCTCTCCACAAAAAAAAAAAAAGCTGGGGGGTTGTCAAGTCTCATGGTATCAGGGAAGACGAGGGTCAATTGGACCACAGAGAACTAATTCCTTTGAAGCAAGCCTTAGAGGGAGGCTGCTTAATCTCAGTGGAGAAGGTCACAGTCATAGGTCTCCTGTAGCTCAAGCTGAAAATGACTCTGCACCTCTGGTCTCTCTGGAATCTTGAGAATACATAGAATGTGGGCACAGATTTCCAAGAGAACCTAGGGAAGAGAAGTCTGTGCCTCTTGTTTCTGGGCCCAGCTCTGGGACCTGAGAGCCAATGCTCTCCAGGAGAACCCCACTTGATGGCAAGTCTTGGGTGAACTCCTACTTTCAGAACTCTGCTTGCTTTCTCCATGCATGTGAACTGCATGACTTAAGCTTAACGGTACATCTTTTACATTTGTTTCATATTTTAAAAGTACTTACTTAAAAAAAAAAAGACAAGAAACTAAAAAGCAAAAATTGAAAAGAGATCAGTCTAAATACTAAATAATTAAAGTCACTGCATCAATGTCACATGAAGGAATTAAAACAAAGCAAATTCCTCTCAGATTAGGTTGGCCAAGAGTGAGCCCAAATTTGAATTCTCTACATCTTGGCCAGTGTCTTTCCTCTCTCTGTAGTCTGTGGTTACTGTCCTGTCTTTGCTTCTTGTCTGCTGTGTGTGTGTCTGATCTGTCTGTCCTTGTGCCTCATCTGAATCTGTGCAGAAACCATGAGAAAAAAGATAAAGAATTCTTTTTTTTTTTTTTTTTTTTTTTTTTTGGTTTTTCAAGACAAGGTTTCTCTGTGTAGCTTTGCGCCTTTCCTGGAACTCACTTTGTAGACCAAGATGGCCTCAAACTCACAGAAATCCGCCTGCCTCTGCCTCCCGAGTGCTGGGATTAAAGTTGTGTGCCACCACCACCCAGCTAAGATAAGGAATTCTTTACAGAAATGTTAACAGAATTTTACAACCAAAGAACTTACTTAATTGACACCAGTTGACCTGGAACCTTGTGTTGGACCATTTCCACTATCATCATGGTATTTCTTCAAGTTATTCTAATTCTACCACTTTTATTATATTGTGACCTAATAATAACTGTTACTTTGTGGATGATAATTTAGTCCATATAATTCAAAATAATTTAGATTATCTTAAGTACCAACGATTGTCCAGCTAAATTAGTTCCTTATATTTTAAGAGCATTTTATTTCTCCAATGTGCTGGGACTACACACTTCATTTTTCTTGGAGTCCAGAGGGTCTGGAGTTCTTTCTCAAGCACAAACCCTGTTCCAGATGTGGCCCTGACGGTGGGAAACACAGCCTAGAAGGAATGTCCCCTAGTGTAAAGCGAGCCCACAAGGGCAGGGAGTGTAAAAGGAAAAATTCAGATAAGGTGGTCGAAGATACTGTTTGATCAAGCTCTGCAGGCCATGATTCCTCTGGTGTCTAGCTAAACAAAACATAAGCAACAGTGGGAAAAATAAGAGTTGTTCATTCTGGAAGTGAGCCAGGGCCTTTTGTCTTTGTCTACTATTACCCTCCTTTCCAGAAGGTCCCTGTGGTGCCCATGGCTGCACTGGCCATGGAAAGTGGCCCTAACATGGGGCTTGAAGGATGTTCATCTATTCAAAATGCAAAGCCGTTTAGGTTTAGACAAAGAGTGTGTAAGCTTGGGGAACTCACTGATTCATGACCCATTAATACCCAAGAACATGAGGAATTCTGAAAAACCTTTGGAAACATTATGTCTCTTTACTTAATTATATGTTGAAGTTAAAAAAAGTTAAAATTAATGAGGGTGACAGATCAAAGTTTAGTCACTAGTACTGAGCATAATACCTGGTTTCTAGAAAAGGGAGTTTGAGATCCTGAGAACTGGCAGAAAATAGAAAAAAAAACCTGTAAAACAGAAACATGAGCAAGGTGAATTAAGGCCTGTGAAATCCTTTAGCATTTGGCACGCTGTTACTATTGCTTTGGAGGCCCCAAGAAACAAATCTAAGTTGCCTGCCAGGAACCAGATAGTAAACAGATTGCTGTCACCTTATTTGTTTTGTTGGCTTATGAAAAGATAAATTCTGGTGAGGCCTCTAAGTGTTTCAAATGTAAAAATGAGACCTTGCCTTTTCCTAGAGCTAACAGGCTTCCTACTGTGATAAGTAAGCTCATAAACAGATTTTTTATGGGGGGGGAACACTCAAAATTACCATGCTGTTATTACAGACTTAAAAATTGCTTTTTACTATTCCTTTGTGCTCTATTGGTGATTTTTAAAAAGACTTACTTTTTCAAGGACTAATTTCAATGATCAAATACCTATGTCTCATGATATTAAGGAAAAAACCAGTAACTAAAGGTTAAATGGATATGAAATATTGAAGATTTTTTAATGAGAAAGGATTTACATATGAAGGTTTAAATCAGTGGTTCTCAACCTGTGGGTCAAGACCCCTTTAGGGGTCACATATCGGATACCATCCATGTCAGATATTTACATTATGATTCATAGCAGTCACAAAATTACAGCTATGAAGTAGAAACAAAATAATGTTATGTTGGGGTCACCACAATGTGAGGAGTTGTATTAAAGGGTCACAGCATTAGAAAGGTTGAGAACCACTGGTATGGTATGTCCAGGTTTAATATATTTATATGTTATAAATGTTATATGTTATATGTGTGTTTAACATACACACACATATAGTTTGGGAAGTTGTAATAGAGGTTAAAATGACTGGATGTTTTCAGAATGGAAAGGAAAAGAAGGTTTATAGAAGTTTTGAGCATGTTGGTTAAGTGATTCAAGGTATATAAAAGTTAAGACTTAAAGATGATAGATATAATATTAAAACTTCAATGTTTAGCATATTTATGCTAAACCTCTACTTAAATTAATGAAGTTCTTATAAGTTATTAGCCTACCCTTGGTAACAGTTATAAGAACTGGCTAGTAATGCTTTACAAAAATAATTAAAATCATTATAGATAAAGGCTCAAAAATTTAAATCTCCCTTGTTTGAGTTAGGCTGACAACTTTCCAAGCCTTATTTTTGCTGCCACTTAAACCTATGAGTCTGATTGAGCTGTTGACAGAAACTCATTGGACTGCTGTTTTTATTGTGAGGATCTCAAAATAGGTTAAAATAGACATCGATCCTGTGGATACCAATAAAACTTGTATTTCTTTCACCAACTTTGGGAAATTCGTGTCTCTCACGGCATTTTTTTATAACCCCCAAAGACAAATCATAATTGAACAAGCTCATTTATTACTAAAAAAATTAAATATATAAACAAAAAAAGGGGTAATAATGATTAACTACTCAGGAACAACATGCCAAAGCAACTGTCTTAGTTAGAATTTCTATTGCTGTGAAGAGACACCAGGACCACGGCAACTCTTACAAAGAAAATATTTAATTGAGGTGGCTTACAGTTTCAGAGGTTCAGTCCATTATCATCATGGTGTGATGTGGCAGCATGTAGGCAGGTATAGTGCTGAAGAAGGAGCTGCTACATGTTGATATGAAGGCAACAGGAAGGAGACTGACTCTCTGGGTGTGATTTGAGCATATAGAGACCTCAAAGCCCACCTCCACAGTGACATACTTCCTCCAACAAGACCACACCCACTCCAACAAAGTCACCTCCTAATACTGCCACTCCCTTTGGAGGCCATTTTCTTTCAAGCCACCACAGCAGCTTATACTTTAAATTTTAAAAATGTTCCCTCTCAGTTTTATCCTTACACCTACAGAAAAGCATCCCAAGAAACAAAAAGTTTTATTGAAACTCATGGTTTTATACAAGCTCCCTCAAGGACCCAACCAAGGTCTGGGTCCCATTCCCTTCATAACTTGGAGCTTAGACCTCATGTCTGCACTTTCCTATAGGCTTCCTCTGGATTCCAAGAGGACTGGTAATGCCAAACAGTGAACTGACACCAGAAGACAACTTGGTAACAAAAGAGAGACCCTTTCCTGAATTCCAACTGCACATAGACTGTCACATCACTTCTAATTCTTATGCCAGTTACCAAACTTCTTTTCATTTCACTGAGTCCCTGAACCTTATTTCATGGACTTGTTGCAGTACTCAATGCATTAATACCCAACTCTACTTTTATGATATTAAAAAAACCCTCCCTTATAATAAATCTAAATATCCAAGAAAATTGGTAAAGAACCTATCACTGGAGTATAGTCTCAACACAACTGTTGACCTTGGACAATTCTATTTGTTTAAACATTCTCATTAGTCAACAGTTTGCCAATAGTTTGCAGGTGAATTACCAAGCACCTTACAAAGTCTCAATTGGTTTAATAGTTCACATGATCAAGATAATAAAATCCTAATAAATTAGGTATTTATTGCTTTTTAATAGTCCATTTCTGCATCCAAAGAATCCAGAGAAGATTTTTTGCCCAAGAAAAAGCTGATTATATTATCAACACTACAAAATCAGAATGGGGGAGGTGCTGTGGTCCAAGTGATCTGCAGTTCTTTCTTTCTCAAGCACAAACCTTGACCCCAATGTGACCCATGACTGTGGAGACCTGTCCTCCAAGGCAAAACAGAGCCAAAGGGGCATGGAAGTATGGAATAAAGAACTCAGATGGGAGGGAGGTGTCAAAGATTCTGTTTGATCAAGTTCTCCTTCCTGTGCTATCCCTAGTATCTAGATAAATAATATAATCAGCAGTGGGAGAAATAAAAATTGTTCATTGAAGTGAACCCAAAGTCTTGTGTCTCTGTCTACCATTATCCTCCTTTCCAGATATGTAGTTTGAATGTAATATAATCTCATAAGCAGTGGCTCTATTAGGATGTGTGGCTTTTTTGGATTTGGTATGGCCTTGTTGGAGGAAGTGTGTCACTGTGGGGGCAGGTTTTGAGGTTTCCTATGCTCAGGATACCACCCAGTGAGTCAGTCAACTTGCTGTTGCCTACAAGATGTAGGACTCTCAGCTACAGCTACAGCTACAGCATTATGTCTGCCTGCATGCTGCCATGCTCCCCGCCATGATGATAATGGACTGAACCTCTGAAATTGTAAGCAAGCCACCCCAATTATATGTTTTGCTTATAAGAGTTGCTTTGGTCATGGTGTCGGTTCACAGCAATAGGAACCCGAAGTAATACACCAGGTTTCTGTGATGAACATGGCTGCCCTGGCTGTGGCACATTTTAATTATAATTTAAATGCAACTATAGTAATAGCAGTATTATAGTCACAACTTTGCCACAAAATTGGAATTCTATCATTAATTGAATTGACTTTAGATGTATTTGATAGTCATATCTTTTCTGATAAGTTCAAATCTATGTCTAGTTTGCCTATAGCAATGGTACAACTTACAAAAATATGAAACATACTCATCATATACATATTTTTTTCATTTAGCTGTAGACAAGTAACCAGAGCTTGACAATCATTCTTTTCCTTACACTGTCAGTGCTCCTAGGATTGACCCATTTTCACTCCCAACATATAGAAATACTATATGAAGTACTATATAAAATGCTATATGAAATACTAACTTCTAGAAGGCCCATTATAATAGGGGTTTAACACAATAAATTATGACACATTGCATTAAAAATAATTCCTTACTGTATATGTACCAAACATTCTTTACTTATTTGTAGCAGGAATCTTAACAGTTCTTATTAATAAAATCAAACCTGAGGCCAGTTATTGGGGTGAACACTGGAAGATCAGAGAGACAGAACAGGCCACAGCCACCTCACCTCGCCAGTTCCTCAGCTGGTCCTGTTTCCTCAGACTGGAAGCTTCTCAGTCCTCATCCAAAAGAATCTCAGCTGAACTGTGCTGCTCAAAGCCTAAAAGCTTAACCAGCCAAATGCTTCTAGTTTCTGGTCCTCACGCCTTATATACCCTTCTGCTTTCTACCACCACTCCCTGGGATTAAAGGCTCACTTTCTGGCATTAAAGGTGTGAGTCACCACGCTTGGCTGTATCCTTGAACAGATGGATTTCTGCCTCTGGAATGCTAGGATTAAAGGTGTGTGCTACCACTGCCTATCCTAAGTATCTAGTGGCTTTTCTGTTCTCTGACCCCAGATAAGTTTATTAGGGTACACAATTTTTTGGGGAACACAATACCACCACACTTATTTATTCTCAGCTGACTCGTAGATTGTTTCCATGCCTTGGCTTGCGTGGCTAGTACTGAAATGAACATGGGGAGGGCAGATATTTTAGGAGCTGAGGATATAACCTTCTTTGTGAATATACCCAGAAGACAGATTACTGAGTCATATGGCAATTCTATTTTTTAATTTCTTAAGAAACTCTGTTCTCTTTTCTATAGAAGCTTCACCAGCCTACATCCCACCAACAGTGTATCAGAGTTCCCAACACTTATCTTTTTGATCACAGCTGTCATAATGGGAATGAGTTGATGCAGCAGATGAGAATTATGATGTAAGATACAGGAAATGGGGAGGCGTAGACCTCAGAGTATAAAGTAGCAGGTATGCAGAATGAGCCGATCTGGAGCTCCAGTGCACAGCATAACACTATAGATAAAACTGTAGGGTAGTGAGAGAGTCTTGTTAAATAAGTAGTTTGGAACTATGTGAGATGAGAGATTATTCATTTTCTTTATTGTAATAGCCATTTTACTACCTATATGCGTTATAGACTATCACGTTTTAATCCATTCCCTCTCTAGCATCATGTTTTTTCCTGGTTTCACTGTCATCACTAACACAATATACAAACATCTTCACGTCGATTGTCTTTCTCTTTCTCACTGCTATCACTGGAGAAGAAAACAAAGTGGCCACTAGAAAAGAGGGCCACAAGGGAAGTATTCAAAGTATGCAGTAAGAAAATGTACAGTTTTCTGTAAAATATGAGGTCTAGAGATGAACGTTAAGTGGGAGTGGAGGTGGGGTGGGGGAGGGCTGTGTTTCCACAGGACAGTAGGTGGCAAAGCTGAGAACTGGAGCCCAGCTGGAAGGTCACTGGCCCCACTCTGGACAAATCAAGCTTCCTCAGGGAGAGCAGTAGAAACTTCAAGAGAAATAATAACACTGTGCCTGCAGGAAAAGACGTAAGGTCTAGAGAGTCCGGGGGTCAGAAGGACTACCAGGAGAAGACTTACAACTTTCCCTGCATCCTAGTCTATAAAGTGTATGAAATATAGGAGGTACAGAGATCAATTGCTCCCATTGACCCCCTCCTGCTGTAAGAGCCAGAGGCATCTGGGAGATATATCATGCAGTTCAGGGCAGCTGGGCCAGAAACAAATCCCTATACTGTTCATTTTATCTTTGAGTCTATAACTTACTCTCCACTCTTGCATACATGTCTCTTGTTTTTTTAATTTGCAGTTATGTCTTAGAATTGTTGTTTCTCTGACCAGTCTACATAAGGTATCATTTCTTTTAATTTTTGAGTTTTATAATATATTTACAACATCCCTTCCTTTCTTCCCTTTCCTCCCTCCAATTACTTCCATAAACTCCTCCTTTCAAATTCATGGACTCTTTTCTCATTACGTGTTATTCCATCCATAAATGTATATGCATATGCATACATATACCTAAATATAACCTGTTCAGTACATACAATGTTACTCATATGCATGATTTTTAGGGCTGACCATTTGGTATTGGATAAACAATCGGTGTATTCTTCCCTAGGGCAGACTGTTTCTCTTGCTGCCAATATTCCTCAGTTGCCTATAGTCCTTGGTGTAGTGCTGAGGCCTCCTGGGCTTTTCTCTTTCCACTTTGGCATGTCCAATAACATCATCCTTGTTCAGTTCACATTTGGGCAGTCATGTTGGAAAGACTTGATGTGTGCAGGATCTGACATTACTAGGATGCACGATCTCACAGCAAACTCTTATCCTTATACTCTCTTCTTTTTGCTTCTTAATTTATACTCTTCCGTAGATGTAATAAGATAGACCACATGTTAGGAAACAAAGAAAGTCTCAACAAATTTAGGACAATAGAAATCACATCCTGCATTCTGTCTGATCACAATGGATCAAAGCTGGATATCAACACCAAAAAAAAAAAAAAAAAGACATGAAGCACATAAGTTCACAGACAGTAAACAGTACTGCTAGCCAAAATTGAGTGAAGGAAGAAAACAAAATCAAAATTTTTAAATTCCTAGAATCGAGTGAAAATGAAAACATAACATACCAAAATAAAAGCAGGCATTAGCAGGAAGTTTATAGCACTATGTGTCTACATTTTTTGAAAAAAAAATGAGAGATCTCAAATTAATAACTTAATTGTGCTCATGAAGGCCTTAGAGAAATAAGAACAATCAACTCCCAAAAACATAGATGGGAAGAGAAAATCAAACCCTGGGCTGAAATGAATGAAATAGAGATGGAAGGAAGAGAGAGTGTGAAGTTGAGTGGGTAGGGAAGTGGGGAGAACCTGAGAGAAGTTCGAGGAAGGGAAAACATGATCAAAATTTTTGTATGGGAAAAAAATCTTTGAAGAAAAAAATAATGGATCAAGTAGTTGATACTTTGAAAAGATTAGCATGCTTGACAAACTCTAGCCAAACTAATCAAAAGAAAGAGACGATCCAAAATTCAAATCAGAGATAAAAAGGGAGACTTACAACAGATGTGGAAGAAATTCAGAGAATCATAAGGACATACTTTTAAAATCTGTATCCCACCAAACTGCAAAACCTAAAAGGAGTGAATGAATTTCTTGACATAGACAACCTACTAAAGTTAAATCAAGAAGTAAATAATTTAAATAGACCTAGTGAGATAGAAGTGGTAATTAAAAATCTCCCAATAAAACCTGACCAAGACAGGTGACAATTCAATGTAGAATTCTCTCAGACACCCAAAAAAGAACTAATATCAACATGGCTCAAACTGTTCTACAAAACAGAAAAAGGAAGAGACCTTCACAAATTATTTTTAGGAAGTCAGTATGACTCTGATACTAAAACAAGATAATGAACCAAAAAAAAAAAAAAAAAAACCTACAGGACATTATCTCTCATGATCATAGACAAAAAAGTTCTAAATAAAATATTTGCAAACTGTATTCAAGAACTCATCAAAAAGACTATCTGAAATGATCAAATCAGCTTTATCCCAGAGATGAAGGATTATTCAACACACATAAATTTCACATATAGACTAAAGGACAGAAATCGCATAATTTTTCTCAGTAGATACATAAAAGCCTTTTATTAAAATCTAACATCCATTCATGACAAAAATCCCGGAGAGACTAGAGATACAGGAGACATGTCTTAATACAATAAAAGTAAAATACAGGAAGCTCACAGCCAACATCATCTTAAATGGAGAAAAACTCAAAACATTTCCACTAAAATTAGAAACAAGACAAAGCTGTCCGCTCTTCTCATTAGTGTTCAACACAGGACTTAAAATCGTAGCCAGATCAATAAGACAAAGGAAATGAAGTAGACACTGTGGTAATATATTGTGCACCCCAATAAAGCTTGCCTAGGGATCAGAGGACAAAGTCAAAGCCAGCCACTATATTAAACATAGAGGTCAGGAGGTGGTAGCACACACTTTTTTTTTTTTTAATTTATTTTAATTTATTTTGCAATACAATTCAGTTCTACATATCAGTCACGGATTCCCTTGTTCTCCCCCCTCCCGTCCCCCTCACCTTCCCCCCAACGCCCCCCCCCATTCCCATCTCCTCCAGGGCAAAGCCTTCCCCACAGACTGAGGTCAACCTGGTAGACTCAGTCCAGGTAGGTCTAGTACCCTCCTCCCAGGCCAAACCAAACAATCCTGCATAGGCCCCAGGTTTCAAACAGCCAACTCATGCAATGAGCACAAGATCTGGTCCCACTGCCTGGATGCCTCCCAAACAGATCAAGCCAATCAACTGTCTCACCCATTCGGAGGGCCTGATCCAGTGTGGACCCCTCAGCCATTGGTTCATAGTTCATGTGTTTCCATTCATTTGGCTATTTGTCCCTGTGCTTTATCCAACCTTGGTCTCAACAATTCTCGCTCATATAAACCCTCCTCATTCTCGTTGATTGGACTCCCAGAGATCCACCCAGGGCCTAGTCATGGATCTCTGCATCCAGATCCCTCAGTAGTTGGATGAGGTTTCTAGCACAACAATTAGGGTGTTTGGCCATCCCATCACCAGAGTAGGTCAGTTCGGGCTGTCTCTCGACCATTGCCGGCAGTCTGTTGTGTGGGTATCTTTGTGGATTTCTGTGGGCCTCTCTAGCACTTTGCTTCTTCCTGTTCTCATGTGGTCTTCATTTACCATGGTCTCCTATTCCTTGTTCTCCCTCTCTGTTGTTGATCCAGCTGGGATCTCCTGCTCCCCCAAGCTCTCTTTCCCTCGACCCTCGCCTTTCATTACCCCCACTCATGTCCAGGCTGTTCATGTAGATCTCATTCCATTTCTCTGTCATTGGGCGATCCCTGTGTCTTTCTTGGGGTCCTGTTTTCCGGGTAGCCTCCCTGGTGATGTGAGTAGCAGACAATTCATCCTTGTTTCATGTCTAGTATCCTGCTATGAGTGAGTACATACCATGTTTGTCTTTCTGAGTCTGGGTTACCTCACTCAGGATGATTTTTTCTAGATCCATCCATTTGTCTGCAAACCTCATGATGCCATTGATCAGTGAGTGAGTTCAAGGACACTCAGGGAACTGAGCTAGGCATCGTGACACAAGCCTTTAATCCCAGCACTAGGAAGGAAGGAAGATGGCAGGGCACAGAAAGGTATATAAGGCGTGAGTAAACAGGAAGTCTCTCTCTTGAGGCTAAGAATTTCGTAGAGGTAAGCTAGTGGCTGGCTGTTCTGTTTCTCTGATCTTTCAGTTTTCACCCCAATATCTGGCTCCGGGCTTTTTTA